GTATCCGTGGGTAGGGCACCAGGTTGGTCTGAAACTCAGTCAGGTCAACATTCAGAGCACCATCAAATCTCAAGGAGGCGGTGATGGAGGAGACAATCTGCCCAATCAGCCTGTTGAGGTTGGTGTAGGTGGGACGCTCGATGTCCAGGTTGCGGTTGCAGATGTCATAGATGGCTTCGTTGTCCACCATGAAGGAGCAGTCTGAGTGCTCCAGGGTGGTATGAGTGGTGAGGATGGAGTTGTAGGGCTCCACCACCGCTGTGGAGACCTGTGGGGCTGGGTACACAGAGAACTCCAGCTTGGATTTCTTGCTGTACTCCACGGAGAGCCTCTCCATGAGGAGGGAGGTGAACCCGGAGCCTGTGCCTCCCCCAAAGCTGTGGAAGACCAGGAATCCTTGGAGGCCACTGCACTGGTCAGTCTGTAGCACCAGGGAAGATAGCCAGAAGGACCAAGTTACTGCACTTACTCTGGTCTCCTTGGTCTTAAGTACTGTGTTCAACCACTAAGTTCAATACACCTTCCACTCCTAACAGGTGAGTTCTGTTGGACACAGCAAATGCAGCTGCTTTTAAATTATCTCATTTTATCAGGAACCAAGGTCTGGCATGTGAGAGTGACATATTGGGTCAGGTAGAGACTCATGCAACTGTAAGTAAAGAATATTAGCAAAAGTCTGAAGGCCACTAAGAGGTTCCACCAAAAATCAAGAATATCTTAGTGTTGTTGCACTGCTGGGGGTCTGCATGGGCAAGACCTTATACCCCAGAGGCAAGTATCCTCCAAGGGAGGAGAGGTCTAAGGGGAGATACTAGCCAGAAGTGGAGCTGTGACATCGGTCAGGATGAGATGTTGGATCAGGATTGACACAGCAGGCACTACCCCCATGAGGAGAAAATCATCTTGCCTGGACAGTTAAGTCACAGGTACTTCTTTTCCTGCTTCAGCCGGGGGCATCTTTAGTCCTTTCTTTTCCCCTCAAGTCTCAGCCAGCAATACATAACACCCACATGCATCCCACCATGTTGTTCCAAGTCGCACTGGCATGGGGCATGGTCTAGCTGACCAAGACCTGCTTGCCCACCCTCCCCTGCCCACCATTGCATCTTTTGATGGCCAAGGCCACAGCAACCAGAGTGTTAACGCACAAGACCCTCCACAGGGTTGTTACCATTTTCCGAGCCCTGTCAACAACAGAGTCGATGATCTCCTTCCCAATGGTGTAGTGGCCTCGAGCATAGTTGTTGGCAGCATCTTCTTTGCCACTGATGAGCTGCTCCGGGTGGAAGAGTGTGCGGTAGGTCCCAGTCTTGATCTCATCTGGAGGAAGTTGACATCTCCTGAGTGTCACTGGCACAAGATCCACTGTCTATCAAGTTACTTGCACTATTTTAGAAGTAGTTTCACATGGAAGCTGGCAGCCTCAACAGCCGCTTAAATGGGCGCCACCACCACACTTTAGGTCAGAGAAGGTATTTCCCCCACCTTGCCTCCTCAAAAAGGTTTGGAGACCTTCCCTGACTTACCAATGACAGAGGGCTCCAGGTCCACAAATATTGCTCTGGGGACATACTTCCCTGATCCTGTCTCACTGAAGAAGGTCCCAAAGGAAGAGTCAGCTCGCCCTGAAGTTGTGCTGGAGGAGATGATGCCATCTGGCTCGATCCCATGCTCCAGGCAATACAGTTCCCAACAGGAGTTGCCCATCTGGACACCAGCCTGGCCAACGTGGACAGAAATACACTCCCTCTGCATGGGGATGGGAGAGAAGAGGAGGTAAGGAACCTGCGCTGGCAAGTTAGACTAAAGCTGGCACTTCTGGGTCTTTTTATAGAGCATGTGGCCAACAACCTATGGACATGAGGAGCACCAGCCCAGCTTGGTGGCAGGGAGAGCATTTTCTCCCTAGCAGGCACCCAAAAGCTGCTGAACATGCAACAACTGAGCATTAGCCCGTCAGAGAGAGGTTTCAGTCTTCCACCAAGGCTGCTGTGGAGATTAGGGCCTTGTAGTGGTTCCTTCTGCATCCCAGCACGTTGCTCAACA